CACATCATTTTAGTTTACATACATGACATAACTATATATTTTCGGATTATTAGGTATAACGATTATTTATTATGATTTTTTTTTTTTTTTTACTGTGATTAAAATATTTAATGTGGACGATTTTTTATTATTGCTTTTAAAAGTATGATTTTATGTTATTAGCTATAACGATTGTAAATTATGATTGTTCTTTTACTACGATTTAAATATTTAATTTGAACGATTTGATATGATATTATAGTATAATTTTTTTCTTTTTAATAATCTATCATATTAATTTTATGCTACTGCATGATTTTCTTCACTGGTGGAGTTTACACGAACCCAATTTACCTGTTTTTTTTTCTGGGGGAGTTTATAGTAAAAAAAAAAAAAAAGGTACTCGTAGTGGTGTTTACATGCGCCCTACACGGCGATACGTCCTTAGTCTTATGTTTTCATCACCTAGAACGTTTCACCACCAACCCGTCGTCTTCGGGGGCCTCTTCGGACCGGTACGTCGTGAACACGTTTGTATACACACACGCGTGTAGGCGTCCGTGTACGCGACAGCAACATGACCTTCCGCAGTCGCCTTACGCGCGCGTGCAACAATAGTGCAGTGCACGACCGACGTGGCCAAACATCCGACGTGTTTACGACGGTCGCGCGAAGATCGCGGCCGCGCGCGGGAAAACGTTTACCGCGGTGGTTACCGGTGCAGGAACGTTACCGGCCGATTCGATAGTTCAATCGCAAAATAAACGTTTTCATATGATTTTTTAATAATTTTAATGCACATCAAAATAATAATAATTATTAATTACGCGATGCGATCGCTGATATTTCGGGTATACACGTTTCGCCGGACCGACGAATCTCGGTCGGCCGGGGGGGGGGGGGGGGACATTGGCCGCCAAACGGTCGTACACGTTCTGGGTGGAATTCGGAACAATCGGAAACCGTGATGGATCTGGACGCTCCCGATTTTTGCATTTTACTCGGTCGACTAAGTAGATCGCGCACGGGTATCGTCGAATCGTGTACAGTCGTTCGGGAAAACCGAACGCGCATCTCGCAACACCTTGAACGCGTGTTGAATCAGTATTTGATTCCGACGACGGGTGCCCGTGTAGTTTTCGATTCTTGATCGGCGCTTCGACAACCAATGGGTTAAATCACGTCAGCCGATGTACAACGGAGTGTTCGTGCAACTTAACTCGAACGCGCGTTTCGGAAAACATGACGGCCACCTATGGGTTTCGTGTCTATTTTTAACCGGGGCCGAGAACGGTAATGGCAGTGGCTCGCGAGTGGTAAAAGAAAATACACGACGACCATCGGTGAGCGCTACACGCGACGGATTTCCGGCTTCCGCGTCCATACAGTCACGAGCGCGTACCGCGGTCACACGTGTTAGAAAAAAGTTAAAAGTTCGACTAAAGTTAGGTTGCGATAGCGAATAAAGTTCTGTAAAGCGATGTGTTAAAAAAATCATGGGAAAATAAATTAACTCGTGTACTCGTAAACATTATTTCGCGGCAAGTCTTATACGTTTTGAACCGATGATAAATTATACAATTGCCGACGTTACATCATGTAACTTTACTCGTACCTGACCATAATTATGACTCTCAGCGATATGCTGCGATCGATGACAGTGGGTAATAATCGCGTTTTCAATTAGAGTTTACGGAAATAACCGTGAGATAGCAGCAACAGCAGTCGAACCGTCGACTAACGATTGTTCTACTCGGTCGTCCGTTTTATCAATAGGAATTTGTTATTATTGTTGCAGAAACCGGCCGGAATTATTATTATTATTATTATTATTTTGTTGTACGTATTGTATCGTGGTCGTGAATAAATATTAATTCTGGTAGAAATCATCAAGCGTGCGCGACGACGAATCGAAGGTGGTTCAACGGCGTGGCGCAGGGTAGGTAACTCTCCCTCTAGCCATCATCCCCACGAATATAAACAGTGCTATCTGTTTTACTGTCCCTGAGGTATGCGCACATTGTCGAGATGGCGCTTAGGTCGTACGCGGTTCCGGTCCCGGTAGCTACACTTCGCCACTCGATTAGTTTTGAATATTCACGCGCACTTCACGGTAGTTCGAAGGGTGTAATGGCGTACACTTAATGGGTCAAGGGGGTCAGTCGACTGACCCCTTGTCTCCGAAATTACCTTTATTGGAGTTGCTTTGCTAATGTTTATGGGTAATGGGTGGTTGGTCGGTATTAATATAATATGTTCGACCTATGTCGGTAAGAATGAATGTGCACCATTGGAAGGGTGAACGGTTTTTTCGATTGCATTATTTCTATAAAAATGACATGAGATTGAGATGTTTGCTTCTAAAAACTTAGAATACCCGTTCAGGATGTAAGGGGGCGGGAAAGTAAAAACCACGTGTAGACTGCACTTAATCCACGTTCCAGTCGCGTGCACGGAAAGCTGTGGCGCCCCAGGTTTCCGGTTTAAAAATATACGAGAACCAAACACGTACGACGACGACGTCTAATCGCATTAGGAGCGGAGAGAAAAAAAAAATTAAAAAAAAAATATCTCGGGTTTAAATTCCACGTGTGATAAATAAATCAAGGTACACCGATTTCTAAAAATAACCTGTGATATAACATCATCTCCTGGCAACTAATGGGTTCGCTCGTAGCACAACGCCGCGTACGAATGAATAAATTCTAAAAATTACACCGGATCACCTGTGGTCTAACGTTTTTTTTTGTATATTTTAACAATTATTATTTCACGGTCATCGGAGTTCACGTCGTTGGTACGTTATGTTATTTTTGGTGCACGTTTTAAACTTCCATGATTACATCATTACCGGTTTGGGCAAACTCTGTTTTGTAATTTAAACCTATTTAAGTGTAACCGGTAAAGTGTAACTATATTTAACCGGGTAGGTTACTTGATATTATGTAACAACGCACGTATTAAAGAATTTTGACGCTTCATTCAGAAAAATAAAAATCCTAGAATGATGTAATCCCAATGGACATAATAAAAGTTTCCGAATAATATAATGTTATCTGGTTGTTTTTTTTTTTTTTTTTTTAATAATTCCGACCGATTTATGCGCTATCGGTACCGAAAAATATTACGATTTTATTTTGCTCCGTACCACTCGGAGAGACATTTTCCGATAAGCACGGTACTCGAAAAAACGTGTGTGCATTAACCGTTTACTGACCGCAGTGGTCCGGATTGATAAACATAACAACATCTAGACGTATTAGCCTAAAAATTAATGTCTAGCCGCGTGTCCGCGTTATTTTGACATTCGCATTGATAAATAACATTGTCAGACACTGTCGTCGGATCCTAAAAATAAAAACTCGCACGCGTCTCAATGCTTTAAACTTTTACTTTTTTTTTCTCTCACGAGTCATTAGACTCGCGCATCATAACTGATATGCGCCTCACCGCGGTTTCGTCCCCGTTCAAAGTCTGTTCGTCGTCCCGCGGGTCCGACGGAAACTCACCGGACGTCGCCGACACTCATAAACGGCCGTGTAATTGCACAATTCGAACAATTTGGACCTCCGTCGAAACGTTCGGTTTTTTTTTTTTTTTTTATTATTACGTGATCCAATTGACGGAACACTTGGATGCCGTGCGTATAAACTATTAATAATTAACGAGCTACGGTCCCGTGACCTCCGTCTGTTCGGTTTCCGCTGAAGCATTGAAAACGTTACGTACCAGCGCACTGCTGTTGCCGGATGAAAGTCCTGGCCCAAGCGCCGTCCGCGAAGTCCCTTAGTCTTGGCCGGCGAGAACGTACGGACACAAATCGAAATCCGTTCGCCCCAACAAAAGACACGCGGGGCGACTTGAAAGCGCGCAAACAATGGACCCGAATATCTGTTCGGACGGTTCGCAAAATGTTTCGCGTGTGCTAGCGCGAATGCTGCGTTCTGCTCAGAGGTTCGCGACGACACGTATTCGGCCAACTCCATGTTATCGATGTTCGTTAAAAATTCGACTGCGTGAAAAAAAAAAAAAAAAAACGACAGCGCACGGTTGTATTTCTTCGGGTGTAATGAATCGAACGTCGCACAGCGCACGGTTATGATGCATGAACGGCTGGCCGTGGCCGTTTTGCGGTTATTGCGTTTTGTGTACAAAGCGCCCCCGCGCGCAAAGAACGAACTTTGCCGACCGACGATCATCTAAGTACCTCGATCGAAACACAACACCGATAACGTTTGCCGTGTACGTACGGACGGTTTGTGGCAGCATGCTACGACGATATTTGCATAAGGAGTATACTTTGCGCGAAAGTAAATTATTATGATTGTTATCGTCCGAACAAGATGCGTGCGTTAGAGAGACCACCGCCGACATTCATCAACCAATGCGTCGCTGTTAATGGAAATCCGACGTTCGTTCCGATACGCTATTATCAAGGGGGGAAAAGTGAAGGATAAATAAACCATAAGAGTGGTCGATGTGCGTTTATAGTGAATCCCTCGACCCTCTCCTTGTGAACTGGACTTATACACACCTGATTCGGCGTAAAATACGTTTAAAATCGATTGTTTCTGTTTCGAAAAAATTGTCTTATTGAGCAATCAGAACGTGTGATTGATCTTTTTTGTATAACGCTCTTTCGCCGTGTTCAAACCGAAACGCAGGATTTTCCACGTCAATCGGTGCAGGACCGCATTCCGTTTTAAAACAAAACGCGTCTTTAATGATCATTCATGGTATACCAACTCATTTCGGGTTTAATTAAAAGTATATTTATTCTTGCGCCGTCAACCGTTCCGCGTTTAACGTTTAACAAAATATTAATAAGACGTGATACGGTTTTCCTCGATCTGTGAACATTTCGGTTTTTGGCGATTTCACCGCCGACTCCGTTGCCCTTCGATTATCACGAAACGCACTTTTCGCAGCCCGTAGTTATGAAACACAGGGCCATACGCACTATGTTAATGGTTGTTTTAATGTATTTTTAATTATTATTATTTTTTTTTTTCATTTCGCAGATTTCGGGGTTTCTGCAAGACGCGGACGATTCGGACCTGCACCACGATATGAGCTCGGTGATCGAGAATTTCCAGAAAAAGAATAGCGTCGGATCCATCGGTCCTTCCGCGGCCATGGCAGCAACGACCTCAATGATGACCGCCGGCACCACCACCGGCAATCACATGGTAAGTCGCTGCGGCACGTGTTCTTCGCGTTTTTATTACTAACCATTGCCAACGCTCGATCGTTTGATGATCATATGCGCTCAGGTGCGCGCACGCGGCTCGTTGCGATTTGTCGTCCGCCGGCGTGTGCTTGCAGAGCTCTGTCATTGTTTTAAGTTGAAAAAAAAAAAAAAAAAAACCAGTAGAAAGATAAATATTGCGCGACCCGGTCCGTCCGAATCCGTGTGTAAACCGGCATCCGCCCGGCAAGAAGGGATTCTTCTTTCGAAAACCCATTTCGAGAACAGGACGTGCCCGCTCGGTATTTCCGCGTTGAAATCGCGCATCCAACGCCGCTCCGTTGGAAGAACAATCGCGTCCCCGTCGTACCGAAAGAGTTGACGACGAATTCCTTTTTCGGTAGTCCGCGTCCGAGTGCATCGGTGCCAACGTGCAGCAGTGGGTGTGCGACGGATTCGACGAAAACGCGCGTTAACCGCCTACGCCTCCCCCTCGCGCGACGTTTCCGCGTATAAATAAACGCGCCTGGAAGAGACCGCGCGTCCACGTGCGCCGACTGTTGTGTCCCACGCGTACCGCGGGACGCAAAAACACTTTTGCTTTTGTCACGTCCGCCGATCAACCGTCGGTGTTGGTGTACAGAGTGTTTGATGGTGATCGCGACGAACCGCACCAAGGACTTCCGAGAATACGTGAACACGCGGCGCGGCGCAAGGATTTTTTTATTTCATTATTTTTTCGAACGCTATTCGTCATCATCGTCGTCGTTGCACAATTTCGATACGACGCTTCTGCCGTGCAACCAAGTACGGTTCACTTCGACACGCGTTCCTTATGGTGCGCTAACGAAATAATACGATTTATGTAGGTTTTTTTTTTTTTCCTCTACGTTTTTTGTTGTTGTTATTGTTTTTTTTTTTTTTTCTTTTTTTCTTCACGTCGGGATATTAACGAATATTATCCGTACAACGCCGTGCCGCCGACGACGAGGTCACATGACACGTACGCGCGCACACGTCCGAACGCAAATCGCAATAAAAACAACGACGATGACAATGGCCGTATCGGTTACCGTGTGATCCTGCGCGAACGTCGTCGGAGCCGGCGACCGTAACGCAGTGGTTCGCGCGCGCAAAACGTTGCGCAACCGAAAGAAAAAAAAAAAAAATCGAACACAACGACTGCGCACGGTTATGCAGTAGGCCCACACGCCCCGAGTCCGCTCGTGACGAACGTAAACATCGAAATTATTGGGAACCCAACAGTCACGTAGGAAAAAATAAATATGCCCACATCGAAACCGGCGATATTATTAATACGATAGTGGTTCGTGTTTTTCGATCCACAACCGGTCTGTCCGTGTATTTTATTTACGACATTAAACGTTTTCCTTTCTAATGCGGTGTACGGGAACGTACGTACGTAGCGACGCCAAGAGTTTGGATGATTATTTATAATCGAACGTGGAAGAACAAATATGACGTTCTACGTTATTCGAATAATATGCAAATCACACGATCCTTCGACGATCCGGAAATTCGAGAAAAATATCATGGAAATAACGCAACGTTTGATGTATTGGTATAATAATCAAAAACGTTTCTCTGTTTCCTCGTTCACGCTGTTCTATACGGATTAACGTTAAAACAACACGTCTCAACACGCGACTTGTCGTTATAATAATTTATCGACGGCAAGGAATCATCGTGTTTTATATTTTTCCGGTGTACACTACAGCGAACCTATGGCCGGTGTATCAAAGGCACCAGAGACGGCTCCAGAGCCTTGGTTAGGGGGGGGGAGGAGGCAAGTTATAATTTTACAAAATCTTACAAGAAAAAGAAAACAACAATTTTTACAACACAAATTTAAGTCGTCTGTTTTTAAAATTGGCAAAAACATCAATGATATGATCTGTTTGATCTAGAATATCTACTTTATGATATATATTAATTAAACATAATGCTTATAGTCTATCTTCAGTCATCATTGAACGAAGCCAGGTTCTTAGTCTCCGAAGTGTGGAGAAACTCCTTTCAACCGTCATACCTCTATGGCTCTATCTACTTACTAGTGCGTGTCGTATGATTGTACATATTATAATATGCATTTTATGTTATTTTAACAATATAAATTTTTTTATAAACACGGTACAAGCTTGGGAGGGGGCCGCAGCTCCTAGGGCCTGTATTCGCTCCTGGAAAGCACATCGGAACCATCAGGTCCGTTAGACTTCTGTTGGACACCAAACCTTTCGATCTGTCAGTTTTATGCGAAAAAAGTGGTTTTACAGATCGTTTTCTAACCGTTCGGATCCGTTACCGTTTCGTTTAATCGACTTCCAATACGTTTCGGCTACAGCGAATGCCGTCGCATAGGTAACATACATTATTGCCGCACAAACGGCTGTTCAGATGTCTTTCGCGTGCGTTGCGAACATGCAGTAGAACGTTATCCATTTGTTTTTCGATATCTCATACTTGCTGCGTTTCAATGAACGAATTGAAAACACGAGAAAAGCGAATACAATTTTTTGTTTTTTTATTTGATTGTCACAATAGTGATATTATATCTTTTCCAACCTTGTCGGTTTTACGGTTTCACGTGTAGCTATATTAGAAAAAAAAAAAACCGGTGGCTTTCGAGTGTCATCGGACCACGAAAACGGGACAGCATTCGATCGTCCGTGTTCACAAGATAAAACTCTTTCGTAGACTTTTGGAACGCACATATCGCGCGCTCGTTTGTCCGAATACTTGCAGTGTCCGGTCTCAAAACTCGTCGACAGCAACCGCGACGATCTCGATCGTTCCGATGTTGTGGCGTGGCAAGGGAACTGTGCTCATGCCAAGGGCTCGAATCGCAAAGGGTCGCAACATTGTGCAAAATTTATATTTTTATCCAACAGTAAAATCGAAAATTTTCCATTGTACTTTTTCAAATGCTTGAAATGTTGTCTAATTGTACACACTACTTGCGATGAAATTATGAAAATAGCACAAGGGCATTTAAATAAAAAAATGTCGTATGCAGAAATTATCGATGGATTCACCAGTCATATAGCGAGAAAAACAAATTTTCAAAGTTTAAAATTAACACCGTAATAATAACTAATAAATATAAATTAAAAGTAAATAAAAAAAATATCGTATCATCAAATTTTGATCGGTTAAAAAGCGTTTTTTTCCAAGTTTGCTAGGTTTGCTAGCGAGTCTTCCCACCTTGCAGGGATCGCGCATTTGTACCCGTACGGAAACGAAAAACTGATTTGCTCTGTTTTCCAAAGGCCTCGTCGTTGCAGCAGCAGCAACAGGAGCAGCAGTCGTCCTCGTCGTCGCTCCAGTCGTCCTCGTGCTCGCGGTTGATGGAGTCATCGTCGTCGCAGCACGTGGTCCATCAAGTGTCCGAGACGACCACCACGTCGTCCTCGTCTTCGCTGTCGTCCGAACTGCAGAACTCGTCGTCAGAGCTGCTGGAACGACGGGTGCAGCTGCAGGCCGGTGATGTGACCGATCGCCACTGCCCGGCCGGAGCGGACCATCCGTCCGATCCGCTGGTCACGTTCCCCGAATCGCCGCCTGTGCTCATATCCAAAGCGTCGCCACTGCTCCAGACGTCCGCAGCGACCCGTCCGACGCCGGTCAGACTGCTGCCGCAGACCAACGGTCAGACTAAGTACGGCGCGGCCGAGCGTCGTGTGTCCACCGCGTCGTCCAAGCTGGTCAAGGAGGAGTACGAGGCGTTGTCGTCGTCGTCGTCGTCCAACAGCAGCACCGTGTCCGATACGACGCAGGACGTGCTGCAGTCGTTGCACCACGCGGACGTGCGCAAATTGCACGCGGCCAACGCGATGATCCGGGCCAAGCTGACCGGGACGATGGTCGAACGCGGCACCGACACACTACAGGTAAGGTCAGACCCTGCGTCGCAGTCCCATCTTTACCCTATTTCGATGTTTTTACTGGCATTTTTTTGGTTTACTAAAAACACCCCTAAGCTCCAGGTGCCCACGGGCCCTTGTATAGCCTAAGAAGGCCTTACCACATCGTATAGTAACTGTTACGCGGCCGTTATCGCACGTGAATATATACCGTTTACCCGGTGTCCGGTGTGGCCGTTGCGCAGATCGTTGCTGCGTTTTTCGTCCGCGCTCAGGAAAAACAGCCCGAAAAGCATAAACGTCGGACCGATCCGGCGTATGATTTTATCTGGTCCGGTTTTGGTAAACATTCCTGTTTTGTCGACTGTTGTTGTCCAGTCAAGATGACCAATCGTCATTTAATCGTGATAAATCGAAAGCAAGTGAACACAATAATATTTAGAAAGTAATGTTAAAATATTAGTCGATAAAAAATATACGATTAGACTTCAAAGAACTTATGGGCTGTCTTGTGGACGCGTATGTAAATATGTGTTTGTTCGACTCCAAATGTACGGAACCATCGGTAGCTTTGAAAACGGTGGCTAACGTATTTGCATTGATCAACGAAATAACGAACCCAACAACAACATTTTAACCAGTGAGAAAACTTAAATTTTATAAACTTAAAGGTAGACTAATAGGTAGTCAGCGAACAAGTAGTAGGAGGAATGGTTTCTGTAACTTGGGAAAAAACGTCCCGAAGCGTATTTATTGTGCTATTTCCGCGGAACGATAAATGAAGTCTGTATTTTCGTTATCCGTACAGTGCTGACCTTATAATTAGTGGGGTTTTTTTTAAAAAAAAAACTTGAACAATTCGATATTTTATGATTATGCAAAAATACCTCGATAGTTCTATCGTAATTTCTCCGAGTCGATAATCGTTTGCGAAAACACATCGTTTGAACTGTGAAATCTTACGATTCAGTGAAAAACAACGTTATTTTCAGTAACATATATTTTTCCCTTTAATTCCGTCGCATTTTTAAATAAAAGTATCTGCAAAAAAAAAAAAATTCCTGAATTCGTGATTTGTTTTTCCTCAATACTCTCGTATGTTTATGAAAAACTGCAACATTATGATTGCGACTTAAGACATTCCGTATCTCGGTGGTTTATCCATGGTTTTGATAAACACATTGTGCATACGGTTATTTTTACCGACGATCAAGCAAAAACGATGTTGTATTGTTGTGCAGTTGTGCTATAGGTTGCAATCTTTGAACTCACATAGAAACCGTATACACAAGTGATAAGGTCAACGTGGGATTCGTTGAGTTGGTCAGTGCGTTGTGCTACATAATATACCGTCACTGGATTTTTCCTTATTTAATTTTTAAGTTTTAACCTATTTTGAGCGTTTTTATTTTTTACTTAACCGATTTAAACATAATATACCCATAGACGCAATACCGATTTGTTTTTTTTTTTTTTTTTAATTTGAACATTGTTTAAACGTTTTCATCAAACTTCAAAGTAAAAACGAATCTCACAACGGTGCACTCCGATCACTGCTACAAGTAGTATCTATGCCAATCTTTCACTCATTTTGATATTTTTTTCCTTTTGTTTTGTGTCAACACGTGCATTGTCGCGCATGCAGTAGCCAATTTTTTTTGTTTTATTTTGTACATTATATTATTATCAAATTTATTAATCAATAATAAATAAATAAATAATTATAAATTAATAAATAATACATTTCGAAACGTAAGTTAACAGAACAAAAATAAAAACACGGTTAAAAGAAAACCGTCGGAATGTTGGTTTTTGCAAGACTTCACACGCCACGCGAATCGTGCAGGAACGGAGACGGTTATTGCATTTTCACGGACACGCTTTATTGTGAATTTCAGTACGAAAGGAAAGAACTTGGGACTGGCGCATGTCATATATTTTCAAGCGCACTCTTGGCGCGTCACACGCCAGTCCTACGGGATTCACTACACGTACGGCGCACCATTCCGATCGCCCACGAAAAAATGTTCGTCTAAAGGCCCCTATTAGCGCTTGTGTTCGTTACGGAAAACGTGGTTTTGGCGTGTCGAGAACGCGTTTAAAAAACGCGTTCCAGGTGCGTTCGGTGCAAGCGCGCACGAAATCGCTTACGTGTCAAAAACGAACCGATCTGACCGTACTGTTTTCTGTTCGCGCGTATCGGTCGAGGCTTTTTTTTTTTTTTTTTTTAATTGATAAACAGTTCTTTTATTAACGTTACTTGTCGGGTTTCGATCTCGCGCGCTGAAGTGATGACGAACCGCGGACGAAAACCGATCGTATCAAAACCGTAGATATCAGTTCCATTAAATCCAATAACTGTTACCAAACTTTTTAAACACTTTATATGTTCCTCTTTTATGGGAATACATTTCTTAAATATCCTTTAAATAATTAGTTACACTAGATCCAGCCTCCCTCAAAAAAAAAAAAAATAAATAAATAAATAAATAAAATAAAATAAAATGGAGCAATTTTTTTCAAGTGAAATTGGTATAGGTCGTCGCAGTCAGAATCTATTTACACGAAATTGGGCAAATATGGGCAACATTTTTTTTTAAAAAGATGATAGAATACTATATTAAGTATTAAATTTTGTAATTTTTAAAGCTTGGAAAGCCTTGGAAGTGAACTTAGACTACGTATAATTTTTGTCATACAAATATATTATTATTATTATTAAATTTATGTATATATTAATACATGTATAACTCGGTAAAACGTATGTATTAAACATAACGTAACTAACCTGTAGCTAGTGGTTCCACGACAAATTGAATTCGATAAACAAATAATATTAGTCACCGAGAAAAACAAAAAATTTAAAATAATATTATTCTGTTTGATTTTACACTATAACACACGGAGGACTTATATTACGACTGCTGTAACTAAATCAGTTCAAGCCACAACACGTGCACAAAACCAGTGAACAATGCATTATGAACTCCTTTATCGATACATATATATAAATAATAATTCGATGAGATAAGTAAAATTTGATAAATGCTATTTTTTGCCAGCTTTCGATGTCAATCGCCCCACCGTGCGACGGAACGCGTCTCCGTATCGTTACGTCACGCGCGTGCATCCGGTGTTGCCGTTTCAGGGCGCACACGTGCCGCGCGCGCACGTGTACTACTTTAACGCGACGTCGACCGTGTCACGGGTAAAGGTTCTCGTTTCGCGGAGTGCATTGCAAAAGGGATAGGGTTATTACCCGTTTTACGATTTGTCGGGCGTCGCTGTCGTAACACATCAAGTTTAATAATCTTTGTACGTAAATAGGACGTATACGAATGGCGACCGGTCGCCACCAAGAAGACGCGCGTGGGCGCACGACCGGCCGGCGACGACGGCGGTGGCGACGTAAACTGGTTAGGTTGCACGTGCTCAACGGACCGACGCCGCCGGCGAACGTTCTTATTTTTAAACGTACTCGTATTTTTTTCTCCACTGTTTTTTTTTTTTTTTTTTTTAATCTCTCTTTCTCTTTCGGTTTCTTTTCTTATCCGTCTCTCTATTTTCCCGTTGCAGTATTATCTCTTCTATCACGCACGCACACACTCTCTCTCATTGATTCTCTCTGTCTGGACGACTACCGGTTTTTGTTTGTCCGTCGTGTACAGCAGGACGACCGGTGACCGACGCCGTAATAAAAGCGGAGAAAAAAACCTCTCCACGAACGATTATAATAATAATATTATTATTATTATTGTTATTACATTGCGCGAGGCGCGCCTTTAATATCCTGCTGCACGCGGTCGTACAAATAACGCGATAGCGTCAACAAATATAACATATTAAACCACGCGGCGTCGACGACTACTTCTCTCTCTCTCTCTCTCTCTCTCTCTATCTCTCTCCGTCGTTCCGTGTCTCGTTGATTTCCTCCGCCAACGCGAAAAGCACCTCCAGGACGGGGTTTATTTTTTTCTTTCTTTTCACCGACCGTATGGCCACTTACCATTGTGTCCGTACGTGACCTCGACCGTCTGTTGTTTACCCAATGCCACGCGCGTTCGAGTGTTCGTTTTCACAAAAAAACAGTTTTTTCGAAATCCAGCTTCGCAGACATCAATTCGCGACGCAAGTCGACAATAATAATATTTACGCCCACGCTATCGCGACAAAAACGATCGTGTTCGCGTCGATTCGTCATAATACACGAATCACGGTTCCCTCGTAACATCGAATTGATTATGCCGAACTTGTATTCCGTTGGTATAGGACGAGATCAAATCCTGCCCATCCCCCAACATTTGTATATAGCGGTTCCCCGTTTCGAAGTGGATCACTTTGTTTTGATTATAATATAATACATAATAGTATGTATAACGTTGATGTCGAGTACTCGAACAAACGTGAATTAATAGACTCGATCCGTGGCCCACACTATTGGTTCACTTTTAACCACGGTGTTCACACCTCGTTTCCGGCATGTTTACAATACGCAATTCGTAAAGATCTTAAATACGATTTTAAAACTGTATAATACGCTTTTAACGACACATACGCATTTCGTTATTGCCGTCCGATCTCATGCCGCGTGATAAATGATCTAATGGTCGTAATACGAGATAGTTGCCAAAGGTCAAACCGTGTCCAAATATCTATTTTGCCGATCGAGGACAGATTTGTCGATCATAGGTTTACGTTCGAAACCGTACTCGTTACCACCAATAGAGCTTCGAGTAGTCGCGCGCGCGAATCGTTTGAACACGAAACGCGAGCCAATGTGATGGCGTATGAAAGAATATTATTACTTTTTAAGTTTTTACATCCGGATAGCAATCAACGTGACCATTAAAAACGTTGCGACATCCACCGGGGTTGTCGCAGGACTTGGGGACCGATCGAAAAAATACCGTTTGTACTCCTACGGCTACCGCCGGGGTATAAATACAATTTTTTCTTTTTTTTTTAATAATAACGTATAGACGTAGAACAATATACGCTCTCGCGTTAATTATATCATTATACGTACG